TTAAATATATAATATATATAGTTATTTTTATATATATATATATATATATATATATATATATATTATAGGAGAAAGAAGTCTAAAAATAAAACCTTATCTACATTAAATGTATGGATAAGCTTACATATTGCAACATATCTATTGGTAAAAAGAATTTTATCTACAAGTAAGCAATGATTGGAAATCAACCAAAAAGGAAAAACATATCATTACATGCAAACTAAGTAATGATTACAAGGGAAGTCTATAAATATGAATAGAAATGTAGAATGAGGAGAGGAAAAACATAAGAAAAAGAGAAGAAAAGAAGGAGCACAAGGAAAAAAATTCTTTTTAAACTATTTCTAAATGGTTTCACTCTTTTAAGGTAAGGGGAGGAAACTTTTTATCCCTTTTAAATTTTTTATACTATTATATTTGTTTCTTTTATGTTATATATATGTATATTTACTTAGTGGGGTGTCTCTAACCTTATTTACTTATTTTATGTAAGATACTTTTTACTCGTAATAATTAATGAGATGTTCATAGTTTACGTTATTTATTTTATAATGTTTATCATTGTCATTCACTAGATTAATGTTCTTTAATACATTTCATTTTTATAAATTACATTATATTAAATTTTAAATAATTAAAAATACTTAAACTTATTAAGCTTATTTTTTTATATTATAAAGATAAATGTTATTTTATGATCATATGGAATAAAGTTTAAATTAATTGGTAGTTGAAAGTTTGATCTTGAGGATTTAAATGAGTAAGGACTTAACGGTGAAATATCCTTTTGTTGGTTGGTATTATGTTAATACTTATTTATCTTGACTAATCACTACTAAAATAATTTAAATTTTATTATAATACAAAAATTTAAATATATATATATATATATATATATAATACTGGTTATAAATAATTATGTACATTCTATTAAATTATTTGTATTTATTGAATATTTTTCTCACTTCTTACTTTTCTCTATTTAAAATTAAAATATATTACAAAATAGATGACTCTACCCTCAATTTCAAGTTCCTTTACGGTTGTTATTTCTAGCGTCTCGAGGAAAATTGGAATGTGGATGTCGTTTTCAACTCAGTAATGTTTCAAGGCATAGGATTGTCTTATTTTGTTTTCTTTTCTCAATCAAGAAATCCCTACTATTATAGATGGACCTATTATAGTAATTTTTTTGCCGCCCGCCAATCATGCTAATCCACTTGTAAATTTATTTCCACTACCGATGTAAATATTACAGTAGAAGTAGAAGATATATAATACATACATAAATATGTATTGTAAATATTTTAGTATGGTATATATGTAAATAAGTCCACAAAATCTTACTTGTCTTTATGTAAAATATTATTAATAATATAATTATGATAATAACACATAAAATATATATATATATATATATATATATATTCAATATTATATAATTAGGCGTTACACATAATTAGTTGAAACATAAACAAGTTACTAGGTAATAAATATTATATTATTTTATTTATTCAATTGGAGTTCTATCTTGTATTGTTAGTTTTAATTATTTTTTAAAATTGTCTAATATTTGATCTTATCATGTTCTAGTTTTTATTAGTATTAGCATACCAAATCAACATATAAATTTGTGAGATAAGCATTTGCAAAAAAAAAAATGATGATTTTCACGGTGAGATGAAATATATTATATTTGTGTGTTTTTTTTTAAAAAATTTATGATATATTCTTTTTAACTTTTAGAGATTATTGTCACCACATGACCTTCAAGTTCAATAAGAGTTTTTGTTAAAGATTGGAATATTAATTTTAATAATTGTGTTGCTAAATGATTATTTTTTTAATTTATGACTTTGGTTTGAACAAACCAATGTGAATTTTTTTGTTTGTTTTTAATATTATGTGTATTTATTTTTAAGATTATGTTTCAATTATTTAAAAATAAATCTTTTAATATAATTATAGTATTAATTCTTTACTAATTTATTATTAACTTCATATATAAGAAATGTACAGATTCTGGTGCGATATGATCAGTATTTAGACACTAATAGATATAAAATTAAAAATTAAAATTAAAAATCGTACAAGAAGAAATCAAGTATATGTATTATTATTTATTTTAAACATGGATACGAGAGTGGTACTTTAAAATTTTAATTTTTGTTGTTCCTAGTGTTACCATGTCAACTCATTTATA